TGCTGTGTGCTGTGGGCACCACACAGGTCTGATCTGCTCCAACGTGCCCAGTAACACATCGATTATGCCGTACAGAAAAAAATGAGGTTGAAGATGTAAAAACCACATGCTAGCAGGAAGACACAATTTCGGATGTTTTCAGAACTGTGAAGATAAAGCTGCTATATGACTCGGAGCAGTTTCTGAGAAGAGTGAAAAAATTTCCACACTTAAAAAATATTATCTGCCCTTTTTTCACCAGCTTATGGCTATTTTTGCAGAATCAGAGCATGCAAACAGCATGACTTTAATCATGAACATAAACATTAAAAAAGACTAATCATCCATAAGCTAATTAAATACTGATGCCTCGGTCAGCCTGTGAAGCTATTTCACTTTGAATTTAAATATCATTTTGAGATGAGACTTTACAACTAAAGATATTGTTCAGGTGTTATAAAATAACCTACTCACTTTCATGAGCTGCAAGCACTGATATATGTTATAAAGCTACATTTTCGGCCTTATATTGTTCCAAATATTTTCTCAGCATTTTCAAAAATTTCCTGTCTGCTGTATTGCCCTCCTGTAAGGAAGCTGTTTTCTGCCACTTGCGCAATGCCACTCTGTCTCAAGTGAGCTCATAATTTTCCATTTGTGTCAGATTATTAAAATGGCAAGATAACATCAATTTATATGTCCTATTTCCTGATGCCTTCTTTTAAGCAAAACAAAAGCTACATCTTTTAGTGTGCTCTCACTAGCAGAAATGAGTGCTCTGTTGCTGAGTTTATCAGCAGCAGCTAGACAAAGGCTGAGGGCTCCTAAAAATTCGGTACTACATGGGCTAGGTGCTTATACAGTTGGCAGAGGACTCTGCCTGTTACAAGAGGATGCATGCCGGCATTTTCTGAAAATTGAAAGATTCAAGTCTAGGATGTGTGGTTACTAAAATGCATTATCATGATAGTAGGGCATTACATACATTTTTTTTTAAAAAAGCACTCCCAATGGAAAAAAGGTTACATGAGTTCCAGTTAAACTTCCTGTGACCTAAAGTTTGTGTTCTGCCACGTCCCACTCATGAAGTGGCTATACATTAGTATTAAGTGAAGTCCATGAAATGATTTGAGATCCTCTGCCAGGCAAATAACAATATAAATGTACATCATCTAGAAGCACCCGCTGGTGCTGCAAAAAAAATGAGGACTGTGCTCTATTACATGCAGTGACTGCAAAATAAAATTTTATTGTGTTTATTAAAATGATAAAATACATCTATATAGAAACTTTGTAATCCAAACGCAAACAGGACATTTCAAAAGTACATGCCGGTATCATGCTGTGCTAGGATACCAGTTAGGTAAACCCTGCTTGGTGTCTTTTAAGGTAGAAAAATTACGTTAGAAATAAAACCGCATGGAAGAAATACCACTGAAAGATACAGAAGGGAAACGACAGCCAGTTAAACAAGAGGCCAAATCGAGACAGTCGCTGCATTTTTATATGCATTGCTAGGAGCTGGCCATAAAGCTAGCCCGATGTGAAACATCGTGAGGTGAACACCCACCACGAACCCAGGAGAAACCCCGCTGCTTTGGGGTTCACAGAATCGCTCGGGTTGGAAAAGACCTTTAAGACCACCGAGTCCGTGACAGGCTTCGCCTCCAGTTCCACAAGCACCCCACGCCTCAGCCTGCTGACGGCTGGCCCCGCTCCTCGCACTCGCGGCACACGCCGGAGCCACCAGCCCCGCTCCCCGACACCAACCGGGAGTGACGAGGCGGGAAGGCCGGGGCCGAGGCGGAGCTCACCCCCCGCCCCCGCCGCTCGGCGCACAGGGCCGGGAAGGCCGGGGGAGCGGCCGAGGAGCCGGCGAGTCCCCTGAGTCACGGCTTCGCTCCCTGGCGGGGCCTGGAAAGTCCCCGCCGGGCTTCCCCGCGCAGCACCGGGGCCGGGGTCGGCCCCTCGGCCCCCCCCCCCCCGCCCCCAGGCCGCTTTTCCTGGAAGCCGCCGTGCGGCGGCAGGGCCGCGGCCCGCACCCACCTTGCGACTCAGCAGGCGGGACTGGCGCTGCTTCTCCGCCGCGCCCAGCGCCCGCAGCCGCTGCCGCAGC